ATAAAAGTATGCTAGGAAGTCCAAATGGGAGGTACTAGGGCAACTGGATATTTTTTCCTTCTGTCCTCTTTTTTTTTGTTTGTTTTTTTCCCCTCCCTGAAACGGACATAATCAGTTTGTTAAAAGTAGAGAGTGAAGTATCTATTTCTTCACTTCAGAAAATGGAAACACTTACAGACATTATGTAACAGGAAAATTGAAGGTGTGAGCACAATCACACACAGATATGCAAACATAGTTGTGTATTCATGCTTGTTAATCATTGGGACCAACTTAAACTAGGATGCAATTCTTTGCTATAGTTCTCTTTCAGTTGGGGGTTTGAGTAATATATTACTTGCTAGCTAACATCCAGTAACCCTTCCAGTTTTTGAGTAACACAAGATGGAACGACAACATGGATTAAATTTTCATCTCCTTCTGCATAAAATAATCAATGTGATCCCCTGATGTTATATTTCCTTGATTCATGTTTCTCTCCTTTTTTATTTTACTCAAAATTTGTAGGTTTTTGAGAAAAGATGACCATGAAAAAGTTAAGAAAATCATTCCATATTCCCTTGGTTTCTTATCATGTCTCTATGGATCTTGCAACTTCGATGTTGGTCAAAATAAAAGTTATTGCAAATTGTTTTTGAATACTGAAAATGAGAAGCATAGAGACTCCGTAGATGCTATGTTACAAGGATTCTGGTGTTCCAAGTGCGACGGAAATTTCAAACGCAATCGGATGTTACACTGGGAAGTTGTACATCAACCAAGTATGCAGGATTTGGAAACTGTTCGTGCTTGTGATTTTATTGGCCTACAATCCTTATATTTTGACCTTCTCTATGATGAGTCTTCAGAAGAGGTTCAACTTGCTTGTTTGGAAGTTATGCAAAGGGTTCTTTTACATGGGACTGGAGAAATTCTTCTCAGAACAAGATCAGAATGGATAAAATGTTTTAAATTCTTGCTACTTAACAGAAATAAGGTGATAAGAGAGGCATTTTGTACTCAGATTAATTGCTTCCTTCAGGATCCTATTTTGAGCTGTTTGTTTATAGATGGGAGTGCTTCAAATAAAAGTTGTGAACAGATATTTATAGATATTATAAAACATGCATTGTCAGCTTCAGAAGATCTGCATATCTTTGAGACCCTCATGGAATCTGCAGCAGAAGTTATGATGGCTGTTGATATTAATAGTCATCTTTTCTTGTTCTCCCTTATCCTGTTGGTAGATCAGCTTGATAATCCACATATAGCAGTAAGAATAAATGCATCAAGGTTAATACACAAGTCCTGTTACTTCCATGTTAAAGGAGGATTTGAACTTTTACTTTCAAAAGCTGTTCATATTCGAAATGAACTGTTTGATTATCTGTCTATGAGGATTGCAACCCGTGCAAATATGGTCAGAGAGTTTGCAGAGGCTGTTTTTGGTATTGAAACTGAAAAACTTATTGAGAAAATGGTTCCTGTTATTCTTCCCAAACTGTTGGTATCTCAGAAGGATAATGATCAAGCAGTTGATACCTTGTATGAAGTGGCCAAGTGTTTAAACACTGATGTTGTACCCCTGATTGTAAATTGGTTACCTAAAGTGCTCGCTTTTGCTCTTCATCAATCAGATGAGAAACACTTAGTCTCTGCATTGCAGTTCTACCACACACAGACTGGTTCTGACAACCAAGAAATTTTTGCAGCTGCATTACCTGCACTTTTGGATGAACTTATATGCTTTGTTGATGTTGCTGATGCAAGCGAGATAAACAGAAGGTATGCAACTTTAGACCAGGTAACCAGTTTTTGGTAAATAAAATTAACAAATATGAAATGCAGCATAGTTGATAGTTTTTGGTCTAGTCTCTCTGCTTATTTCCCCTCACTATGAAGTTGGAAAAACTGTACTTGATTTTTTCATACATATGATTGATGTCCATGGGCATACTTGACATGTGTGCCTCATGTTTTGATATACATATATCGATTGGACATTTCATGTAGTGACTGCAATTAATTGCATTTACTAGTGGAATGCTTTTTGGTTGGGTCAAGTAATGGATACTTAATGAGATCGTGTTGCACTTATAACAACAAGAGGTATGTTATTAACGTGTTACTAATGAGTTCCTTATCCAGGTTAGAAAGAGTATCCGATGTGATAAAGAAGGTCGCCAGGGTTCTGACAAATGCTGAAGATCTTGCTGCCTTTTTGAGGAATCATTTTGTTGGCCTCCTTAACAGTATTGACAGAAAGATGCTACATACGGAGGATTTCTTACTGCAGAAACAAGCTTTGAAACGTATTGAGATGCTCATAGAAATGATGGGGCCATGCTTGAGTACTTATGTTCCGAAACTGATGGTTCTTCTTATGCATGTTATTGATAAAGAAGCACTCCAGTGTGATGGTCTCTCTGTCTTGCAGTTTTTCATTGAGAGGTTAGCAATGGTATCGCCATCTAGCACAAAACATATAATTTCTCAAGTTTTTGCCGCGTTGATTCCCTTCTTGGAGAGAGAAAAAGAAAGTCAGTCAAAGCATTTGAATAAAGTGGTGAAAATATTAGATGAACTTGTCTTAAAGAATAGGGTAGTCCTGAAGCAGCATATATGTGAGTTTCCTCTCCTGCCCAGTATACCAGCTTTGACAGAAGTTAACAATGCTATACAAGAAGCCCGTGGTTCAATGACCTTGAAGGATCAGTTGCGAGATTTTGTTGATGGTCTCAATCATGAGAACCTGAACGTTAGATACATGGTAGCCTGTGAGTTGAGCAAACTGCTGGATCGTAGAAGGGAAGATGTTACTTCTTTAATAACCGGTGGAAGTGGCTCGGAAATGGATGTTTTGAGCTCTTTGATTACATCTTTACTCCGAGGATGTGCAGAAGAATCGAGAACTGCAGTGGGTCAGCGGTTGAAGTTGCTCTGTGCTGATTGCATTGGAGCACTTGGTGCAGTTGACCCTGCAAATATAAGGGGTATTTCATGCCATCGCTTTAAAATTCAATGTTCGGATGATGATCTTATCTTTGAGCTAATCCACAAGCACCTTGCTCGGGCTTTTAGAGCAGCACCTGATACCATTGTTCAAGATTCTGCTGCCTTGGCCATACAGGAGCTACTAAAGATTGCAGGTTGTCAGGCATCATTGGATGAGAGTGTTGCTCCTATATCACCGACACTGAAGGACAAAGAGCTGTTGAAAGTCAGTGCATATGATATTAAAACTGCTGACTGTAACAGCGAGACAAATAGGGGTCAGAGGTTATGGGATCGGTTTTCTAATTACGTTAAAGAGATAATAGCACCGTGTTTAACATCTAGATTTCAGCTTCCAAATGTGGCTGATTCTGCATCAGCTGGACCCATTTATCGGCCTTCTATGTCGTTCAGAAGATGGATATTCCATTGGATAAAAAACTAACCGGCACGTGCAACTGGATCTCGTGCAAGTATTTTTGTTGCCTG